CAATCCTCCCATCTCAGCCTCCCAAAGAGCTGGGATTATGGGCATACACCACCATGCCTGTTTTTTGTTTTTTTGAAAAAAAAAAACGTTTTAAAAGTTTTTTGTAGAGACAAGGTATCACTTCATTGTCCATGCTGGTCTCTAACTACTGGGCTCAAGCAATCTTCCCACCTCAGCCTCTTAAAGTACTGCGAACACATGTGTGAGCCTGGCTGGTCATTAAATATGAAAGCATAAGATGTCCCTAAAAACTCAGAGTTCCTCAAGAGTGAAATGCTAGAAGGCAGTAGGAAGATATGGAGGATGTAGCTTTGAAAGTAGTCATAGTTTGTTTAAAAAAGGTTTTTTTTTTTTTTTTTTTTTTTTTGGTGCCATCATGGCTCACTGCAGTCTCACCCTCCTGGGCTCAGGGCTCAAGTGATCCTCCCACCTCAGCCACCAAGTAACTGGGTCTATAGGCACACACCACCACACTGGCTTACTTTTCAAAATTATTTGTAGAGACGGGGTCTTCCTATGTTGTCCAGGCTGGCTTTGAACTCTGGGCCTCAAGCAACTGTTCAGCCTTGGCCTCCCAAAGTGCTAGGATTACACGCATGAACCGCCCCTTGCCCAACCTCTATTTTTAAAAATTATTATTTGTGTCCTTACTAAATTACACATTCTCTGGGGCTCAAGTTTATAAAGAGCTACAAACAACTCAGGAATTAGTAGGACAGAGTAATAGTCTTAATGCTGAACAGCCTTAATAGAACAAAGGCACAATCCTCTCTCTGCCTTATTCCCTTAATGAGCAAATGGACACCATGCTGGAAGAACCCCTTCCCTAAATTTTATTTGGCATTTATTTAGTAATTTTAAAGTATTCCTTTAGGGGTTCTATTCTATACCAACAGCCAAAGTGTTATAGATTCTGTTGTAAATCAGGTAATCTGTCACTGGGTCAATGAAGAAGACATAATTTTGACCCTTATAAAGAATGCACTCATGTCTGGGTGCAGTGGCTCACACCTGTAATCCCAACACTCTGGGAGGCTGAGGTGGGCAGACTGCTTGAGTCCAGGAGCTCAACACCAGTTTGGACAACATAGGGATATCCTGTCTCTAAGAAAAAATTTTTAATTTGCCAGGTGTGATGGCATACACCTGTAGTCCCAGCTGCTTGGGAGGCTAAGCCATGAGGATCGCTTGAACCCAGGAGGCAGAGGTTGCAGTGATCTGAGATTGCACCAGCACACTCAAGCCTGGGCGACAGAGCAAGACCCTGTTTCAGATGAAAAAAAAAAAAAAAAAGGCACTCACTGGGTACTCTGTCAGAAGTAAAGCAGTGTCTTATCTAAAGACTGAGGATTGGAAAGCTGGTATAATAGGAATACAGGAAATAGAACCGAGAACTGTAATGGGTCATAAATAATCGCCCAAATGCCCATAGGATCCCTGGAGAACACAAGATTTGGATCATATTAAAACGGAGTTACTCTATCAAATGCAATGCATGGTCTTTGATTAGATCCTGGTTTGAACAAATCATCCATAAAACTATTTTGGGGACAAGTGGCAAATTTGAATATGGAATAGATTTTAGATATTAAGAATTATAGTAGCCACTGCGCTCCATCCTGGGTGATGGAGTGAGACCCCACCCTGTCTCAAAAAAAAAAAAAAGAATTATAGTTAAGTTTGAGATGCAATAGGCCGGGCGTGGTGGCTCACGCCTGTAATACCAGCACTTTGGGAGGCCAAGGCGGGAGGATCACAAGGTCAGGAGATCAAGACCATCCTGGCTGACAGTGAAACCTCTACTAAAAATACAAAAAAATTAGCTGGGCGTGATAGTGGGCGCCTGTAGTCCCAGCTACTTGGGAGGCTGAGGCAGGAGAATGGCATGAACCCGGGAGGTGGAGCTTGCAGTAAGCCCAGATTGCGCCACTGCACTCCAGCCTGGGTGACAGAGCAAGACCTCATCTCAAAAATAAAAATTAAAACTAAAAAAAACCCCAACACTTTACAAGATCTAATCCCTGTCTATCTATTTAGCCTTTCTTCATTCCTTTTATTTGCTATGCTTCAGGCACACTGACTTTCTTTTAATTTCTCAGGAGTCAAGCTCTTTCCTTCCTCAGGGCCTTTGCATACATGCTCTATCTGCTTAGTTACTCTTTTTTGGCCAACTTATTAAACTAGAAGATTCACTTTTTAGGTATCATTTTATTTTTATTTAATGAATTAATTTATTGAGACAGAGTTTTGCTCTTGTCACCTAGGCTGGAGTGCAACAGCATGTTCTCAGTTCACCGCAACCTCTGCCTCCCAGGTTCAAGCGATTTTCCTGCTTCAACCTCCCAGGTAGCTGGGATTACAGGCGCCCACTACCATGCTCAGCTAATTTTTGTATTTTTAGTAGAGATGGGGTTTCACCATGTTGGCTAGGCTGGTCTCGAACTCCTGACCTCAGGTGATCCACCCGCCTCAGTCTCCTAAACTGCTGGGATTACAGGCATGAGCCACCATGCCCAGCCTCAGGCATCATTTTAAATGTGACCTTCTCAAATATATCTTTCCTGACACTCCCTAAGTTGTAAGTCCTGATAAAAGCAACTAAGTTATAAATCCTGATAAAAACACTCATAGCTTGTGATATGTATCCTTAACAAAATGTATCTCAGTAGAAATAAATTAACAATTATTTGTGTAATTATTTAATATCTGCCCCTTGTCAAACTAGGAGGTCCTTAATAGGCAGACACCATAGCCGCCTTGCTCGTGGCTGTATTCCGACTAGTGAGCACCCAGACATGATACCTGCTCAATAAATATTTGTTAAATAAATGAATAAATCCTAGACTTGAAAGGTCAGGTTAAGTAAGAAATAAAATGATTTAGCAGTATTCACCATGTAGCAATAAATCTGATCCTTATATCCTTTGGCCTCAGAATTCTGAGGAGTATGGATGACTCTGGGCCCATATCTGACCTAGATATAGCTAAAATGTTGAAGTTATACAAATGAGCTGTTGCTATAACCAAGATAGGGAGAGCCAGGGCTTTAAGAGTATTCTTACACAGGCAAACAAATCATTATTTTATACTACTCTGTGTAATTCACTGACTAAAGTGTTGAAGAAAATATGAAGATGTAATTCATGACCTTAGTAAGATACTTTCGTTTAGGAAAAAAAAATGACACATTTACATGGAAAGAAAACTGGTAACTAGGTATTAACCAATAAGGGCTAAAAAAAGATGATGTAGCCAATAACAGCTAGATGATGGTTAGACAATTGTACTCTGCCTTAGCTGCACATTAAAATCACCTGAAAAGCACTCAAAATTAATCATGCGCAGATCCCACCTCCATTTAATGGAGCTGGTGGTAGGTTCTGAGGACTAGCATTTTTAAAAAAGCTTCCCGTACAGTTTTAGCATACAATTTGGGTTGAGAACCAGTGGTTTGAGGAAAGTAGAAGTAGCTTTACTAAAGAGTTAGTATTTGAAATGTTTCTTAAAGGATGGGTAAAATTTGGACAGGCAAAAAGGAATGAGAAGAGCTTTCCAAACAGGGCTTAAGGAGAGAGATATGGCAGGAAAGTGCAGAAATTAGAAGGTATAATGTATGTATGGGATGGAGGGTTATCAGTGAATAGACACCATTTTGGCTGAAGTAAAGTATTGGTGAATAGAACATATCTTGTATTTTTATCCCCATGCATGAAGTGCTACTGAACATTTTTGGTATATTATTGACGGCATCAGTACGGTATTCTACTGTACTATTGAAGGAATCTATACCTTCAATAGGTATAAGGTGACAAACTTCTGAACTAAGTGAAAGCTCTAACAACAAAAAGAATGGCTATAAGAGATAAAAAGAGTAAACCAGTAAATGACAGAGCCATAAATGGCACTATAGGAAGAATTTAAAGCTACACATTATTAAAGAATTTAATGTTTGGTCACACCAAATTCATTAAACTTTAATAATAGCAAACCATCATAAAGGCAAATCATCTAAATAAATAAAAAAGTTTATTCTAAATTCCTTTAGCACTGAAATATAAACTTCCATCATTAGATGTCATCCTAGTTCTGGCCGGGCGTGGTGGCTCACGCCTGTAATCCCAGCACTTTGGGAGGCCGAGGCGAGTTATCACCTGAGGTCGGGAGTTCAAGATCAACCTGACCAAAATGGAGAAACCCCGTCTCTACTAAAAACACAAAATTAGCCAGGCATGGTGGCGCATACCTGTAATCCCAGCTACTCAGGAGGCTGAGGCAGGAGAATTGCTTGAACCCAAGGTGGAGGTTGTAGTGAGCCAAAATCACGTCATTGTACTCCAGCCTGGGCAACAAGAGTGAAACTCCATCTCAAAAAAGAAAAAAAAAAAAAAAAAAGCCTGGGCATGGTGGCTTACGCCTGTAATCCCAGCACTTTGGGAGGCCAAGGCGGGCGGGTCACCTGAAGTCGGGAGTTCGAGACTAGCCTGACCAACATGGAGAAACCCTGTCTCTACCAAAAATACACAAAAATTAGCGGGGTGTGGTGGTGCATATGCCTGTGATCCCAGCTACTCGGGAAGCTGAGGTAGGAGAATTGCTTGAATTCGAGAGGCAAATGTTGCGGTGAGCCGAGGTCGCGCCATCACACTCCAGCCTGGGCGACAAGAGCAAAATTCCATCTCAAAAAAAAAAATAAGTCATCCTAGTTCTATCTCTAGGGTTTATCTTTTTTTGATTCTTAGAAAGAAAATAATAAAATACTTATTGCAAAGATCTGTGAAAAAGAAGTGGAGAATTAAAAAACAAAAAGTGATTTGAGGTAACACTTCAATTGTTAATCCATCCCATCCTTATAAAGTACTGTATTTAATAATTACCTTCATAATTTGATGGTTACAAAATATTATGCTAAAATCTTTTATTTATAAGCAGATCAAAAGACATCTCTAAATCAAGCTCTTTTGATTTAGAATCACAATTAAATAGCTATTTCTATATCATACCTTGTATTTGGTCATGGTGCTAAAATGATTATTCCGAAAGAACACACAAAGTTCTCCTTCCTGAACCGTTGAAGTTAGTTCACATAATCCATGGTATGTCAGTTGAGTGGCTGTGTTATTTAGAAACTGCTCAGCTACAAAGCCTATAGAACCAATGCATAATATTAGATAGAATAATTTCAAAATTAAAAAGTTATTCTTTTTCTATTTAAAGTGTGTTCCAAGCATGGAAAAAGGCCTATCATTATAATACTTTCCCTACTACTTTATGATGACTCCAAATTGGACATCTGTGATTTTAATTTTGCTATGAAATATGTGTATACAGAAATTCCTAACCTAAAGAAATAGTTACATGAAATTCTTTTTTATAAACAAATGAATTTACTTATACCTCACCTACTATTACAAAGGATTTCATGCAGGTTGCAGTAAAAAAGCAGACACAATAAAACTAAAACTCATCAAAGCAAATAAAAAGACAGGTGTCAGGCAATTTTAAAAATGGGTAGGAAAGAAAAATGTCAGTCAACAGCTACCTTCCCAGTAGCAAGGTGTTTTCACATTAAAAGATTTTACAAAAATCCTAGATAATTCTTAAACTTCTCAATTCTTAATTGTAAACTTCTCAATTCTTGCTTTAAAACTACAAGTAGGCATAAGGCTGAAGAGAAAGCCGTGGGATAAATGATGCCATTTGTAATGGCTTTTTATGCCATTTTTATTCTAATCTCCTCCAACATATGCCACTCATGTAGCTGTATCAAGTTTGGAAACAGATCTTATGGCTTTTGTTTTTGAAATACAATAAAATATGCAGAAGTGATCTGGGGTATAGTTTAAAACATATATATACACACACACACACACGCACACAGCTGATCTTCATAAACACAATTGATCCTCATTGCAAGTTCGTATCTGCAAGTTCATCTGCTGGCTAAAATTTATTTAGAACCCTCAAATCAACACTTGCAGCATTTTTATGCTTGTTTGTGGACATGTGAAGACGGGTGAAAATTCTGAGTGGCCCAATGTGCACATTCCCAGCTGAGGTCAAACAAGGCAACATTCTGCCTTCTTGCTTCAGCTCTCTCACATACTGTAAACAAGTGTCCCTTTCATGGTCTATTTAGTGCCAAGATTTTCACATTTTTATGCCTTCTGTTGGTGATTTTGCTGTTTCAAACAGCATCCAAGCATAATGCCAAAGTGCTGGCTAGTATTCAGTAGACAAAGGCTGTGATGTGCCTTACAGAAAAAATACATGTGCTAGGTAAGTTTCGTTCAGGCATGAGTTATACAGGTTGAGAGGCTAAGTATCACTTATCTGAAATGCATGAGACTAGAAGTGTTTTGGGTTTGGATTCTTTTGGATTTTGCAACATTTGTGTTATACTTATCAGCTGAGCATCCCTAATCTGAAAATGAGAAATCTCAAATGCTCCAATGAGCATTTCCTCTGAGCGTCATGTTGGTGTTTAGATTTTGGAGCATTTTGGATTTTGGATTTTCAGATGAGGCATATTCTATCTGTAGTGCTGTTGGCTGTGAGTTTAACGCTAGTGAATCAACAATATATATTAAATAAGGTGTGTTTAACAGAAACACACATAAAACAAGTTTATGTATTGATCAGTTGATGAAAATGTTGTTACCAAAGGCTCCTTGGAAACTAACTCATATTTATCCTAGGGACAGTGGTTCAGCATTCACTAATTCAGTGTTCACAGCAACTTTATAGAACATAGCTATCATAAATAATGAGAATCAACTGTATACATATTTTTTTAAACTTGTATTTCTCTTCTTTGCCTCCTTCCTTTTGGAGTAAGGAGAGATGTCTCAGAAGCAATGGAAGAGGAGGGAAGGGAATGCCCTAAAAAGTTTCATAAGTGATCTGAGAGATACAGATATAAGGACTAAAGATAAATCTGTGGTATGAAACTAACACTTCAACAATAAATTTAAAATAAAACTTGGTAGGGCCAGAAGCAGATAACATAGGTTTATTCCACTCCCTAGACATCCCTTAGTGTCAAACCATAGTACTTCAAGCTACAAAGTAGTTGTAAAAAGTTACCACACTATAGTTATCACACTACTGCAAGGACTTTGTTATGACAGAAAGTACAAAAATTATAAAGAGGTCTATAGTCAAAAGAAATTCATTGAATACTTGCAACTTTTTCGGTTTATACATTTAGATATAAGAAGTTTCTCCACCTGATTACTGTTGTTACTTTGCCAAGTACTAAGTTACCATATACTAATGAATAGCATTTATGATGTACACTAGTAAATAGCATTTACTATTATGTAGCATTTAAAGAGTAGGCATTATGCCTGTGCTGAAAAGTACCACTGCTATCTGTAATATCTGTATTACTAAATGTTCCCTTCACAAAGATGTTTTTAAATGCCCCTTCCATACCTTACTCACACAATATCCTCTCTACAGATCCCTCTCAAAAAGATACAGAAATTCAGTAGATATATAGCACATTACTTTCATGTTAGTGTGAAATTCAAAAATTCAATATTAGAAAGGTCTTCCTCTGCTACTTCTTTTTACAGAATAGGACATAGGCTCAGAGAGAATAAGTGACTTGCCCAAGGACATAAAACTAGTTATGGCAAAATGAAGACTGTAACCTAGGAGAATTATTATGGGTATTAAGTTTTAAAATTTATTGCAGATGAGTATTATAAATGCCACCTGAATTATATCTCTCCCAAAACCATAAAGCATAACTTATTAAGAACTACGAAAAACAATGTTTCGTAATTCTCCTGTCATCTCTTAAACAGTGGTTTTAGTGGAAAAGGCTAATCTAGTTTTAACTTTTTACAACTATTTAAACAAATTTTGGAAAACAACTCTAAGTGTTACACAGTGGTTTATTTATCTGTAGACTTATCAGAGCATCATTATAATGCTCAAAGAGGTGTTACTGATTCAAATAATCCATGGTTTATTTACAACATTCACATTAAATCTCAATTTTATTGTTAGATACTGTTATTGATGATACTAAAGGTAAAAAAATTCATATAATGATAACAGAGTATTATTCATGAGAATAAATGTAAGCCCTATTTTCCTGAGAAGATTACTATATTTGAAAATATTTCTTATATTCAGAAATTCAAGGCTGGGTGCGGTGGCTCACGCCTGTAATCCCCGCACTTTGGGAGGCTGAGACGGGCGGATCATGAAGTCAGGAAATCGAGACCATCCTGGCTTACACAGGGAAACCCATTCTCTACTAAAAATGCAAAAAAATTAGCTGGGCGTGGTGGCAGGCGCCTGTAGTCCCAGCTACTCAGGAGGCTGAGGCAGGAGAATGGCATGAACCTGGGAGGCGGAGTTTGCAGTGAGCCGAGACTGTACCACTGCACTCCAGCCTGGGCGACAGAGACTCTGTCTCCCAAAAAAAAAAAAAAAAAAAAGAAAAAAAGGAAAAAGAAATTCAATAATAAATTAGTTCATTAAATTGTTTTCCTCTATTACTGGACAGTTATTAGAGAACATGAAAGTAATGAATGCCTTAGAGATGGTGAAGTTAGAAAGACAGGTACTATCATTAGGTAAAAAGGAATAGAATGTAGAAATAGGAAGGAAGGAAATTTGATTTATTTAAAAATGTTGCCTAGATGTGGTCCTGTCTGAGATTTGTGTTCAAATTTAAGCTTAGTCAGAACTTAACTTGTCACTGTGACAGCTTTAAACAATCTAATTTTAAAGAATTTAATCTATATTTAAGTTTCAAAGATCAAATACATTATATGAATGTATTTTTTTCTCAAAAGGATGGGCAAAACAATTTATTTTAATGACAAATGCCCAGATTTTACTTGAAAAGATAAAAGCTCATACAATTTTTTTTTGTTTTTTTTGAGATGGAATCTCACTCTGTTCCCAGGCTGGAGTACAGTGACGCTATCTCGGCTCACTGCACACCTGGCTAATTTTTTGTATTTTTAGTAGAGACAGGGTCTCACCATGTTGGCCAGACTGGTCTCGAACTCCTGACCTCAGGTGATCTACCTACCTCCCAAAGTGCTGGGATTACAGGCGTGAGCCACCGCGCCCAGTCCACTCATATGATTTGATTCCAGGAGTGCAGTAGGGAGCCCAGAACATTTTACTGTGCCAAAAAATAAGTGCTCAAGGAAAGATGAGGAGATACAAAAGAACACAACACCCAACTTGAGGGCATCCCACTGGCCATATCATATTTACAACAATTAAAGCATCAAAAAGAATAATGATAATGGATTATAATACACTGAATAAAAAGGAATCCATGAGTTTATATTGATATAATTTTTTTTAATGGGGAAGGAAGAGAAGGAAGAGAAGTGAAAACTGTTCTGTTACAGAAGAATAACAACTAATAAATAGAAGGAATAACAGAAATTATGACCACCACAGTAATAATTGATTCAGGCAAGAATCAATGGATGCCAGATCTACTGGGTGAAAGATTATTAAGGAATAGCATATTCACACAGTTCAAAGAATAACATCACAGGTGACTTATTAACTACCAAGGGAAAAAGGCATCTTTACAGTATTAAAACCTGGCAGATATTATCTTATATTTGAACATCACCAAGAATGAGATAATCAGGCTCATGTGCCCCCGATTTGATGCACTGGGAAAGACATAATGTCACCTATGTAGCATCCCTGCCAAAAAGATATAACCTGAATCTACTAATGAGGAAATAATCAGATGAATCCAAATTGAGGAATATTCAATGGAACAACTGGCCTGGACTATTTTAAAAAGTCAATGTCATAAAAGACAAAAAAGGAAGGAAAGGAGGGAAGAAGCAAGGAAGGAAACGAGGGAGGAAGCAAAGAAGGAAGGAAGGGAGGAAGCAAGAGAGGAAGGAAGGAAGAAGGTTATAGAACTATTCTACATTACAGAAGACTAAAGAGATGTGACAACTAAATGATTCTTAATTGGAGCCTACATTGAAAAAAATTAAAAGCTGTAAGGGGCATTACTGGGAAAATGGGATAATTCTGAATATGAACAATATATTAAATAATATTGTATAAATGCTAAATTGCTTGAGATAATTGTATCGTGATTATATAGGAGAATTTATATAAGAGAATTCCTTGTTCTTAGGAGACAAATGATGAAGCATTTATGGGCAAAGTGCTTTATATGCAATTAATTCTCACAAGATTTAGGGAAAAAAGAGTGTGTGGGGCTAGGTGCAGTGGCTCATGCCTGTAATCCCAGCACTTTGGAAGGCCAAGGCGGGCAGATCACCTGAGTTTGGGAGTTTGAGACCAGCCTGACCAACATGGAGAAACCCCATCTCTATTAAAAATACAAAATTAGCTAGGTGTGGTGGTGCATGCCTGTAATCTCAGCTACTCGGGAGGCTGAGGAAGAAGAATCGCTTGAACCTGGGAGGCAGAGGTTGTGGTGAGCCAAGGTTGCATCATTGCACTCCAGCCTGGGCAATAAGAGCAAAACTCCGTCTCAAAAAAAAAAAAAAAAAAAAAAAAGATTATGTGTTCGGTGTGTAGGAATACAGAAAAAAAGAAAACATTCAATATATTAACAATTGGTAAATTTAGGTAAAGAGCATATAAATGTTCATTGTGCCATTATAATATTTTTTATGGGTTTGAGATTTTTCAAAATAAAAGTTGAAGAAAGAAAAAGGAAACCAATATTATTTAATAAAAATAATAAGCCAAACTATAATGTTCAGTATTTATGGCACATAATAAAGGCTCAATAAATATTTTAATAAATGAATAATACATATCCTAGAAATATTTTTATAAGTGTATTTTTGTCCTAGGATCAACTGTTAAAGAAACATTCCTAGGCCGGGTGTGGTAGCTCACACTTGTAATCCCAGCACTTTCGGAGGCGGAGGTGGGCAGATCAGCTGTCAGGAGTTTGAGACCAGCCTGGACAACATGGTGAAATCCTGTCTCATCTAAAAATACAAAAAATTAGCCAGCGTGGTGACGTGAGCCTGTAGTCCCAGCTACTTGGGAGGCTAAGGCAGAACAACTGCTTGAACCCAGGAGGCAGAGGTTGCAGTGAGCCGAGATTGCACCACTGTACTCCAGCCTCCAGCCTGGGCAACTGAGCAAGACTCTGTCTCAAAACAAACAAACAACAACCACACACACAACAAAAAAGAACGATTCCTGAGAGCATCTGGAATTAAATGAATAGCTCTGGTGAAGTCTGGCTGCTGGTACTGTGCTTTTTTTAAACTTGCTGATTTTTGCTGCCACGAAAAATCAGCATCATCACAACCAGATTCAAAAAGGTATTGTTTCTATTCATCACTATACTGGAAAAAAAGTAGAAAATAAAAAAGGTATCAACACCCAAAAGCACTGTGTTCTACAAATAAGTATTCTACGTAAAGTAAAAGTTCTATACCTTTACTTACAAGGTATTTGCATCAAGAAAAGTGAATGTTATCTAAAACAAGTTGAAAGAACACCTAACTCTATTTGATTATTTGCTAAATAACATTTCTTTTTCCTTAAAAAGGAATTTGAGGGAATATATTTCTTATTCTCCATACCTTGATAGGAAATAAAATGTGTGAATTTTTAAAAAGTTATCACCTGTGACCAAAACTTATTTTTTTTTTAATAAAGATTAGAAATAAGTCAGCTTTGAGGTATTATACTGATTTAAAGGGAAAGCTACAATTGCAGGCTAAACAGAAAAAGAAAGCAGATTATTTCAACTGAACACCACTCAAGATAATATGATATATGATGGGCTGGCTGAGGTGGCTTATGCCTGTAATCTCAGCACTTTGGGAGGTCGAGGCTGGCAGATCACCTGAGGTCAGGAGTTCGAGATCAGCCTGGCCAACATGGTGAAACCCCATCTCTACTAAAAATACAAAAATTAGTCAGGCATGGTGGCACATGCTTGTAGTCCCAACTACTCGGGAGGCTGAGGCAGGAGAATTGCTTGAATCCAGGAGGCAGAGGTTGCAGTGAGCCGAGATCATGCCACTGTACTCCAGCCTGGGTGACAGAGCGAGACTGTCTCAAAAAAAAAAAAAAAAAAAAAAGATAATATGATGAAGAAAAATGATGAAGGAAACCTAATTGCTAAAAAGTAAGTAAAAATGTCTATTATGGTCTATTATGGCCTTTTATTTTCCATGATTTCTTAGTGTTTTATACAAGTAACCATTAGTGTTAAGTAATTATTTCAAATGAACTACATACTTGTAGTCACTTATGAACAAATATCTAGTTTAGCTTTTTAATTATGCTGAATGACACATATAATTATTCTTTAATATGGAAATCTGGCATGTAGAATTTCACCACTATGAAATTTATATATCAAGGAAGTAATCAATAAATATACCCAGTAGATATTCCCTAAAAATTCTATACCATTTTAGAGGGTTTCTTTCTTTGCTTTTACCATGATGTTCTTCCTAAATTATCAATAACACATATATTAACTATAGTTTTTCGTTATCCTGAGGAATCAATGTCAGAAAAATAATAATATTTGTGACATCAGGTTAAGGAAAAAGAAGTAATGAAGGGACTGACTTTTTTGTTCATTTTATTAATTATTGTAGTACTAAGTCCCATCCTTACTGTATTTGTAGCCATAATTGGGAAAGATGTTAAAAGTGTTTCACATAACTTCATACTCCATAAGTCAGTTTATCCAAGTATTACTTCTTGGCTAGCATTCTGTATGTTACCACTTTCTGAATCATATTGTTCCTTCAAGTACTACTGAATAGCATACTCTAGTATACTGGACATTACTGAAGAAGGATTCCATAGATAGACATTTTTAAAATAGGAGCTTCTTTTTAGTAATATATCTATGGTAATGAGAGCTTGTATAGGAATGCAAACTTCTAGTGAGTGGAGTTTTTCCCCCCTACAGTCTAGTTCATTGAGAAGGAATTTTGTTAATTGAGATAAAACACTTTTCTAACAGTTTTTGTTGCTTCTTTCCCTCCTAAAATTTGAACATTGCTGCCTCATGCTGTAACGAAGAGTTGTCAGAGAAATCAACGATCAACGACTGTATAATGTTTTTTGCTTTTTGTTTTTTTTTTAAGACAGATTCTATTCTGTTGCCAAGGCTAGAGTGTAGTGGCATGATCTTGGCTCACTGCAGCCTTGACCTCCTGGGTTCAAGTGATCTTTCAGCCTCAGCCTACCAAGTACGTGGAGCTACAGGTGCCTGGCTAATTTTTTATTTTTATTTTTTAGAAATGGGATCTTGCTACATTGCCCAGGCTAGTCTCAAACTCCTGGGCTCAAGCAGTCCTCCTGCCTCAGCCTCCCAAAGTGCTGGGATTACAGGTGTGGGCCACAATGTCCAGCCTGTCCCTGTATCTTTATATGTTTATTGCAAGTAGAAGACTAGCATAAACCTCCCAGCCTGATCAAGACAAAATCCCATCTCTACGAAAAATACAAAATTAGTGCATGCCTGTAATCCCAGCTACTCGGGAGGCTGAGGCAGGAGAATGGCTTGAACCTGGGAGGTAGAGGTTGCAGTGAGCTGAGATCGCACCATTGCACTCCAGCCTGGGCAACAAGAGTGAAACTCCATCTCCAAAAAAAAAAAAAAAAAAAAGATTAGGATAAACCTTAACTAAAATACTATGCATTTTCTTATTATTTTCCTCTTTTGCAAAAATGTGTTAAACTTCTGGATAATTAAGTAATATAATTAGTTGGGTTCTGATTAATATAGATGGAATTCATGCACATATCTTTTATATGCTCATATGTTCTTGTAGTCGTCAGTTTTAATTCTTAAAAATGTGATTATTGTAATAAACTTTCATTATATCTTATGTAAAATAATTGTGTGTCTGAGACAGACTAAAACTCATGCTCTACTTCTCATGATTTCTCTTTCTTTTTTGTTTACCTTTCATAGAAAGAAGAAGTATAGCCTCAGTATTTGTATTTTTGAAAGAGTAAAATGGGGACTAAGAAGGTATATCTACATGCTATGCCTTTTGATAGCATTCTGTTTCAAATCTCCACTTCTCATCATTGACTGGAACACAGTTGAAAAAATATTAAACTGATTTTGTGATGATGAATTTAGGAATTCCAGTTAGCTAAGGATTAGGAAAACTGATTTTCAGAGGCATATTCTGATCCAGAATGGGGCTTTAATATATTATATTATACTGAAACGTAAGGCAGTAGTCTACTAAAATAGAGTACTTGAGCACCATAATACTCATCTCAGTCAATTGAAGTATTCAGGATCAATGATAAAGTCCATTCAGTACTCCTAAATAATAAACCTTTTTTAAAAAAGTAATTATCAGTAACCTCTGGGTACATGACCATACCAAAGTTAGCAAGTGATTCCAAAGATTTTTAATAGAATTGAGGCCTGATTTTACAAGTTAAATGAAAAAGAATTCTAGGAAAAACCTTTCATTGGCACCTTTATGAAGGATTACTTCTTTTTTTTTTTTTTTTTTTTGATACAGAGTCACTCTGTTGCTCAGGGTGGAGTACAGTGGCGCGATCTTGGCTCACTGCAACCTCCGCCTCCTGGGTTCAAGTGAGTCTCCTTCCTGCCTCAGCCTTCTGAGTAGCTGGGATTACAGGCATGCGCCACCATGGCCGGCTAATTTTTTGTTGTACTTTTAGTAGACACGTGGTTTCACCATGTTGGCCAGGCTGATCATGAATTCCTGTCCTCAGGTGATCCACCTGCCTCAGCCTCTCAAAGCGCTGGGATTCCAGGCGAGAGCCACCATGCCCAGCCTATGAATGGTTACTTCTTAAAATTCATACAAGTAATATGACATGTGTTTTTTAGAAGTCTTATTTAATAAATTTGAAAGATATTAAATTATTAGAAAAATTATCTTGCCAAGAATTTCAAAAGTCAGGAAACAGCAGCACTCACCCACCTTCACTAACCAGCTCACTATTGTCTGACTGTTTACAAGAGATGATCTTCTCCACTAGTTGGTTGTAGCTGCAGTTACCAACAGCTTTTACGATGTCATCAATCTAGAAAACAAATGACTGTCTCACTAATCATGGTAAGATTAGAAACAAAACAAAAGAAAGCCATATCACTCTTTATAATTTTATTCTAATACTAAATATAAAACTATTATTTAAGAAAAACAAAATCAGCACTAAAATCAACACCCAACAGTTTCCAAGTTTGTTTACAGCTCAGTATGACACATTATGAAAAATACTGCAGTTGTATTATTTTAATTATGCAAAAAAAGATTAAATAGGATTATTACATGCAACTTTATTTCTTAAGGTCATAAACATGTATTTAAGTGATCAAAATAAAACATAAACTATTTCAGGAGAAAAAATAAGAAAATATCAATTTTTTTCCACCCAGCATAAACTACCAAGCAACAGTTTTTTTTTTAAAAAGTAAAAAACAAATGTTGCACATTTAAAGCAAGGCAACTTTAAATATGTTAATTTATAGGATTAATAAAATTATTACATTTTATTACTTATTTCCTAGAGAAGTATAGTGGAGATGTGAGTAGAGATAACTAATGTTATTTTCCTGAAGAAAAGTATGTTAATCAGGAATGGTATCTGCTTCATGGTTCTTATTTAATCTTTGTTTTTGGAGGTACAGCAGAAGAGTAAATTTAAACTTTTAAGCTATAGGAAAATAAAATTGGGCTTCTTTTTTTTTTTTTTTTTTTTTTTTTGAGACGGAGTCTCACTCTGTCGCCCAGGCTGGAGTGCAGTGGCCAGATCTCAGCTCACTGCAAGCTCCGCCTCCCGGGTTCCCGCCATTCTCCTGCCTCAGCCTCCCGAGTAGCTGGGACCACAGGCGCCGCCACCTCGCCCGGCTAATTTTTTGTGTTTTTAGTAGAGACGGGGTTTCGCCGTGTTAGCCAGGATGGTCTCGATCTCCTGACCTTGTGATCCGCCCGTCTCGGCCTCCCAAAGTGCTGGGATTACAGGCTTGAGCCACCGCGCCCGGCCAAAATTGGGCTTCTTTACTCTGTCTCCATTACACTTTGCTTTGACTATAGAAGAAAAAGAGGTTTCTACTGTCTAAACAACTTATATAGTTGCCTTTCCATACATGAAAATATATTTATATTTATTTATAAATTATTTACATGTATTGCTGTATTAACAAGTTATATACCTAATAAATACAAATTTTAGAATTATATAAATAAAAATAAGAGGGCCAATGTTTTCTTCCTACATTCAAATGATCACCTTGAGGACCTACTCTTTGAATACCACAGGTCTCAACATATATCTGCACATACTCAGCAGTGGTTTTCAAACTTGGGGAGCTTATTAAAAAGATGTAAAAGAATTTCAGGCTCAAGTTGCTTCTCAATTGTGTAAGTTTTCATTCCACTGCGCAGGTGATTCCGATGCATAACAAGTTTGAGAACCACCATTCTAGGCTATAATTTATTTTCCTTGTTTATGAAAAAGTCTACAATACTAAGAGACTCTTAACTCATACAACTGGAACTGATGATTGGTTGAGACGACAATCAGTTAATTCAAAACGTCAAAGCAGGAAATTGTGGAAAATGTTTACAGGCATAGATATCTTAAACATTTTTTTTAGTCGGGGGAATGGAGTCTCATTCTCTTGCCCAGGCTGGAGTGCAGTGGTGTGATCTTGGCTCATTGCAACCTCTACCTCCCAAGTTCAAGTGATTCTCCTGCCTCAGCCTCCCAAGTAGCAGGGATTACAGGTACCCGCCACCACACCTGACTAATTTTTTTGTTTGTTTTTAGATGGAGTCTCGCTCTGTCACCAGGGTAGAGTGTGGTGGGGCAATCTTGGCTCACTGCAACCTCTGCCTCCCAGGTTCAAGCGATTCTCCTGCCTCAGCCTTCCTAGTAGCTGGGAGTACAGGCGCCTGGCACCACGCCCAGCTAATTTTTGTATTTTTTAGTAGAGTCGGGGTTTCACAATGTTGGCCAGGATGGTCTTGAACTCCTGACCTCAAGTACTCTGCCTGTCTCAGTCTCCCAAAGTGCTGGGATTACAGGTGTGAGCCAATGTGCCTGGTCCATATCTTAAACATTTCATATTAACTTAAAACACAAAAATGTATTCAATGGTCAATCTTTTGATGCAGAGCCAAACAAATCCTTTTCTTTGCGAGAGGATCCTTGGGATAAGATTCTATGTAGATCGCACAAAAAACATCTATGAGTTCCAGCTTTGATTTATGTAAAATGAGAAGTTAGACCCTCAAGAAACAATTTGAGGGCACAATCTCTTCAGATGTTATTTTCCTCAACACCTTTACTTTATAGTGCTTTTCATTAGTGACTCAATTTCAGTAAGTCTTTTTAAGAATCTGAATTTTCAATTCTAAGAAATCCAGAAAAATACAGCTACAATAAGTTGGCTGTGGTGGCTCACACCATAATGCAAACACTTTAGGAAGCTGAGGCAGGAGGATATCTTAAGGCCAGGAGTTCAAGACCAGTCTGGGCAACACAGCAAAACTCCTGTCTCTAAAAATAAAATAAAATATTTTTTTGAGATTTTTTTTCTTACTCTGTCTCCCATGCTGTGTCACCCACAATGGAGTGCAGTGGTGTGATCTGGGTCTCACTGTGTCACTCTCGCTGGAATGCAGTGGTGTGATCAGAGCCCACTGCAGCCTCAACCTCCCAGGCTCAAGCAATCCTTCCACCTCAGCCTCCTGCATAGCTGGGACTATAGGCACACGCCACCACACTCAGCTAATTTTGAAATTTTTGGTAGAGACAGTCTCATTATGTTGTCCGGGCTGGCCTCAAACTCCTGGGCTCAAGCAATTCTCCCACCTTGGTCTTTCAAAATGTTGGGATTACAGGCGTTAGCCACCATGCAAGGCCTCTAACAAAACATTTTTTTAAAAATTAGCTGGACATGGTGGTGCACGTCGATAGTCCCAGCTATTCAAGAGGCTGAGGCGAGAGGATTGCTTGAGTCCAAGAGTTCAAGGCTGCAATGAGCTATGATCATGCTACTACACATCAATCAGCCTGGGCAATGGGGCAAGACACTGTCTGTAAAACAAAACAAAACCCCCCAAAACCCAACTACAATAATAAACACAAGATCAACAGGCTGGGCATGGTGGCTTATGCCTATAATCCCAGCACTTTGGGAAGCTGAGGCGGGCAGATCACCTGAGGTCGCGAGTTCCAGACCAGCCTGGCCAACAAGATGAACCCTCATCTCTACTAAAAATACAAAAAATTAGCCAGGCGTAGTGGTGGGCACCGGTAATCCCAGCTACTTGGGAGGCTGAGACAGGAGAATCACTTGAAATCGGGAGGTGGAGGTTGCAGTGAGCCAAGATCACGCCACTGCACTCTAGCCTGGGCAACAAGAACAAAATGCCATCTCAAAAAAAAAAAAAAAAAAAAAAAAAGACCAATATACAAGAATCAAATATATTTCTCTAGAGTAGCAATAAAAAAGATTTCAAATATTCATAGGCAGAATCCAGAATCTGTACATTAGTGTTTCACTCAAGGCCAGGTGTGGTGGCTCACGTCTATAATCCCAACTTTAGGAGGCTAGTGGGGGAGGACTGCTTCAGCCCAGGAATTTGAGACCACCCTGGGCAACATAGCAAGACTTTGTCTTCACAAAAAATAAAAAATCTAGCCAGGCATGGGAGTGTGTGCCTGTAGTCCCAGCTACTCAGGAGGCTGAGACAGGACTGCTTTAGCCCAGTAGTCCCAGGTTGCAGTGAGCTATGATCATGCCACTATACTCTAGCCTGGGTGTCAGAGTAAGATCTTGTCTTCCCCACCCCAGAACTCCATTCATCCAATTTATTTGGATGTCTATTACATACTACTACATACAAGGTGCCATTAGAGAATCTATACACACAACAGTGAGCAAAATAGTTTATGCTTTCATAAAGCTTATATTCTAGAGTAATAATAAACCAAATCAACAAATACATAGTGTAAGGTTGTTGTCTATAGTGGTATGCACATGTTTGTTTTCATTGTAGTATAGTATTCCACAGAATATACCATAATGTGGTTATTCATTTGTCTTTTGATGGTTATTCAACTTGTTTTCAGTTTGGGATTATGGCAAATAATACTGCTGTGAAAAACTCTAGGACATTTATCCTGTTCCACTCATCAGGAGTGTATGCCCTGCCAAATTGCTGGGTCTTAAGGAACGCTTAGCATCAACTTTAATGGATAAACTAAACTGGCTTCCAAAGTAAATGGTCAATTTCCATTCTTACCACAAGGAATGAGACTTCTCCATGCTGCACATCTTTGCCAACATTTAATATTGTCAAATTTTTATTTTTTTATTTTTGTTTTTTGAGACAAGGTCTCACTCTGTCGCCCAAGCTGGAGTGCAGTGGTGCATTCTCAGCTCACTGCAACCTCTGCCTCCTGGGTTCAAGCAATTCTCTCTGCCTCAGCCTCCGAGTAGCTGGGATTACAGGCACCCGCCATGACAACACCCAGCTAATTTTTGTATTTTTAGTAGAGACAGGGTTTCGCCATGTTGGACAGGCTGGTCTCGAACTCCTGGCCTCAAGTGATTCACCCGCCTCAGCCTTCCAAAGTGCTGGGATTACCGCGTGAGCCACCAGGCCCAGCCTACAGCAGTTTTATCATGATGGCCAGGGACTGGAAAACGCCCATATGCTCTTTAACAAGTAAAAGCACAGTATGTACACACCATAGAATAGTACTCAGAAATAAAAAGGAACAAATTATTGATAGATGCAACAATCTGGATGATGCTTTGGAGACTTATGATGAATCTGAAATGCCAATCCAAAAAGATTACACACTGTATTATTTTGCTTATATAATATTCCAGAAATAACAAAATTATAGAAATGGAGAAAGATTAGTGGTTGTCAGGGGTTAAGAAGAGGGTAAGGGTGTGAGAGAAGTGGGTGTGGATATAAAAGGGCATCAGGAGGGATTCTTGTGTTAAGAGAAATGTTCCGTATCTTGACTTTATTTGTTTACTTATTTATTTTGAGACAGGGTCTCGCTCTTTCTCTCAGGCTGGAACGCAGTGGTGTGATCACAGCTCACTGTAGCTTCAACTTCCTAGGCACAAGTGATCCTCCCACCTCAGCTTCCTGAATAGCTGGGACTACAGGCATGTTCCATCATGCCTGGCTAATTTTTGTATTTTTGTAGACATAAGGTTTTGCCATGTTACCCAGGCTAGTCTTGAACTCCTGGGCTCAAGTGATCCTCTTGCCTTGGCCTCCCAAAGTTCTAGGATTATAGGCATGAGCCACTGTGTCCAGCCATGTATTTTGACTTTATTAATGTCAATTTCCTAGTTTTGATATTTTACTAAATTTTGCAAAATTACTAAATTTTCCCATTGGGGAAAACTGGGTAAAAGGTATGAGGGATCGTTCTTTATTATTTCTTTTTTTTTTTTTTTTGAGATGGAGTCTTGCTCTGTTGCCTAGGCTAGAGTGCAGTGGCACCATCTTGCCTCACTGCAAACTTCGCCTCCTGGGTTCAAGTGATTCTCCTGCCTCAGCCTCCTGAGTAGCTAGGATTACAGGTGCCCGCCACCACACCCGGCTAATTTTTGTATTTTTTAGTAGACACGGGGTTTCACCATCTCGGCCAGACTGGTCTTGAACTCCTGACCTCATGATCCACCCGCCTCGGCCTCCCAAAGTACTGGGATTACAGGCGTGAGCCACTGCGCCCAGCCCATTCTTTATTATTTCTTACACTGGCATGTGAATCTACAATTACTTCAAAATAAAAAGTTTAATTTATAAAAAAGGTAAATTCTCACCTCATATCATAAAACAAAATAAATTTGAAAGGCATTGGCTGGTAGGAGTCCTTTGTCTTTTTCTTTTAAAGTTCACAATTAACCAATATTATTTTGAAATTTGAATCTTACTTATGTTAAAAAATGTAAGTAAGTGAAAATAATATTACAACAGTATAGGAATAGACATAACAGATCAGTGGAAAAGAGAAGACTCTAACCTATATAAAAATTTAGTATGTGATAGTAGAATTATTTTTTCCTTTCATCCTTCCAATTGACTCTCCATTTCTTCTCTATTCGGGAGACTAACCTCTATGGACTGCAGCAACTGGAATTCTTACTTTCTAGTTATTAGCTGAATTTGGCCACTGGGAGCTACTGGAGGAAATCAGAAAGTGGCAGTCAGAGAATGTTTTACCTATGCTCTTTCCCTGCCGGGCCATAGCTTGGTGGTAGTATTCTGCTCCTGCAGGTCACATCTCCTGGTCAGGAGCTCTGTGCTTTACTAATCAATATTGCTGTGTTCTGCTAAGTATTCCCTCTCCTTGTCTCTTCAGAGTTAGGAGTGGCAATCGTTTTCTGCTGTTGCTAGGTCTAAGATGCTTCACCAACCTTTGCTTGTTCCCCTTAACTTTGTCCACACCTTTGTAAATAGTCTCTTCATTAAACTTCTGACAGTTATCCTTAAGTGTGTCATCTACTTCCTGCCAGGACCCTGATACCCTTGACAAGAGGCAAAATCTGGATTGCTAGAATGGAAAGATGGCAGTGCCTTTTTAAAATAAATGTTTGGGTAATACAAAATCTCTTTTCAAAGCTATGCAATAAAGAATATGGTCTTGCCCAAAGAGAGGTTTGACCTTTGTCCCGGCTCCTATGAAATAACTTCTAAATCTTGGCAATTCCATACCAATAGGACTGACTGTGTTACTTATCGTGGGCTCCTTGGGCCACACCTGCAGTTTATACTAATGATGGATCCCTTGAACCACATGGTGTCAGCTCAGCTTCCAGGGAGGAAAGGGTAGGAGTCTGGGTTCAATTACATGGGCAATAAATTAAATCATACCTACATAATGAAATCTCAATTAAAAATCTGAACACTGAAGGTTGGGTGAACTTCCAGGATTGGCAGCACTCCATGCATATTGTCATACATCAATTCCAGGAGGGTATGATGTCCTGAGGATCCAAGGGGAAGCTTCACAGTTGGAACCCTCCGAGATTCTGCCATATATCTCTCTTTCCTTGGCTAATTTTAACCTGTACCTTTGCCCTGTAATAAACTGTAATGGTGAGTATAATAGGTTTCAGGGAGTCCTGTCAGTCACTCTGGTGAATTACTGAACCTGAGGGTAGTTTTGGGAAACCTCTGAACTTGTGATTGGTGTGAGAAGTAAGGGTGGTCTTCTATAAGCTCTTCCCTCTAACCTTGTAGTTGGGCCCTAGCTCCTTGCAGTTGGGGTCAGAGGTCTTGGGCAGACTTAGTAGTCTGGAGGACTGCGCTCTTAACCTCATAGTTTGGCTAATTCCAGGCAAAAGTGCAAAAAAAGTAAGTAACAAAAAATATAAATTGAGATTAATTTTCCAAATTAATACATTTTTCCTGCATTTGTGTTTATATAATTTAAATTCTTTGACTTACCTGAGGGTCTACTAACCACCCATGGTACAAAGGAATATCAAGAAGATCAAATACTATGCATTCTGGTGTATATTCAAACACTCGAACACCAGTGAATCTTACATTTACATCCAGGCCTGTCTGTAGTTTGTGCAGAATTGCCATGGCATCACTCATATTCTGAAAATAGAAAAGGGGAAAGTTCTAATTCAGAAACATCAAAACACGAACAAAAAAGATATTCAAGTACAAGTACATTTACTTTTAATTTTCCATTTTATCCAATAAATTCAATTCAACATATTTTTATTATTGAGTATCTACTATGTGTCAGGCACTAATTGGAGTTTGAAAGATATAACAATGAATAAAACAGACACTGAGGTGGGCGGATCACTTGAGGTCAGGAGTTTGAGACCAGCCTGGCCCACAGGGTGAAACCCTGTCACTAAAAATACAAAAATTAGCTGGGCGTGGTGGCATGTGCCTGTAGTCCCAGCTACTTGGGAGGCTGAGGTGGGAGGATCACTTGAACCCAGGAGGTGGAGGTTGCAGTAAGCCGAGATTGTGCCACTGCATTCCAGCCTGGGCAACTGAGTGAGACTCAGTCTCAAAAAAACAAAACAAAACAAAACAAGACAAAGTTCATGCTCTTATGCGACTAATATTCTATTGAGAGAGATAAACATGTATATATATAAAACAATGTCAAGTATTAGTAAGAAAAACTGAGCAAGAAGAGGTTGTAGAAAGTAGGAGAAATGAAGGACCTATGTTAGACCAGAAAGTCTAAAGTCAAATGTTTTTAAAGTCAAAGAGGAAGGCCTCTTCTACTGTTGAATCTAAAATAATTGAAAGTAGGATCTTGAAGAGATACTTGTACACCCATGCTCATTGCAACATTATTCGTAATTCTTTATCTATTCTTAGTTACAACTGACAAATGAATACAGAAAATGAGGTATATACATACAATGGAATATTATTCAGCCTTAAAAAAAGAAGGAAATCCTGTCATATGCTACAACCTGGATGAACCTTGAGGACATCTTGTTGAGTGAAATAAGTCAGTCACAAAAGTAAAAATACTGTATGATTCTACTTATATGAGATATTTAGAGTCATCAAAACCATAAAAACAGAAAGTAGAATGGTTGTTTCCAGGGGATTGGAGCAAGTGGGAAAGGGGAGTTGTTTGATGGATATAGGGTCTCACTTTGCTGCTCAGGCTAGAGTGCAGTGGTGTGATCATGGCTCACCACAGCCTCAAACTCCTGGGCTCAGGTGATCCTCCCGCCTCAGCCTCCCATGTAGCTGGGGCTACAGGTACACGCTACCATGCCCAGCTAATGTTTTTGATATTTTGTAGAGATGGGCTCTTACTATGTTACCCAGGCTGGTCTTGAATTTCTTAGCTCAAGTGATTCTCCACCTCATCCTCTCAAAGTACTGGGATTACAGACACAAGCCACCATGCCTGGCAAGTTTCAGTTTTAAAGATGAAAAAGTGGCCGAGTGTGGTGGCTCACACCTGTAATCCCAGCACTTTGGGAGGCTGAGGCGGGTGGATCACGAGGTCAGGAGATCGAGACCATCCTGGCTAACACGGTGAAACCTCGTCTCTACTAAAAATACAAAAAATTAGCTGGGCATGGTAGGAGGCAACTGTAGTCCCAGCTACTTAGGAGGCTGAGGCAGGAGAATGGTGTGAACCCGGCAGGCAGAGCTTGCAGTGAGCCAAGATTGCGCCACTGCACCTCCAGCCTGGGCAACAGAGCAAGACTCCGCCTCAAAAAAAAAAAAAAAAAAAAAAAGGATATATTTTATATTGTGTGGTTTCTAACACAATTAAAAAACACAGAAATGAGCTATCAAGCCATGAAAAGACACAGAGAAAACTTAAATGCATATTAGTAAAAAAACAAGCTAATCTGAAAAGGCTACATACTGTGTAATTCCAAATGACATTCTGGAAAGGGCAAGACTATAGAGACAGTAAAAAAGATCGGTGGTTGCCAAGGATTAAGTGAAGGGAGGAGTGAATAGGCAGAGTACAGAGAATTTTTAGGACAGTGAGACTATTCTGTATGATACTGTAATGATTGATACGCATCATTATACATTTTTCAAAATCCATAGAATATACAAAACCAAGAAAGAGTAAATTATAGACTCTTGGTGATAATAATGTGTCACTGCAGGTTTATCAATAATAAATGAACCACTCTGGTGCAGGATGTTGATAGTGGGGGAAGCTGTGTGTGTGGGGTTAGGAGGAACAGTATAGAAATTCTCAGTACTTTCCATACTCAATTTTACAGTGAATGCACTGAAAAGGAAGGAAGGATGGAAGGGAGGGAGGGAGTGAGGGAGAGAGAGAGGAAGGGAGGAAGGGAGGGAGGGAGGGGAGTGGGGAATGTAAATGGGAGAGGAAAGAAGGAGAGGGAGGTGAGGGAGACAGGCCTCTTTGAAAATGACACTAGAATAGAGACCACAGTGAGCACTGAGTCTTAGGAAGCTCTGGACAAAGAGCATTCCAGACAAAGTAGACATCAGTGCAAAAACAAGTTTATTACTGTGTCCATGAAATAGCATGGGGCCCAGTGTGGCTGGGACAAAATAAAAATGAAAAATTGTAGGAGATGAAGTCTAAGAGACAGGCAGAGGCTGGATCACAAAGACTTGTTTGTCAAATTAAGGAGTCATTCTGTCCACATCAGTTTTCTCAATAAATGTAGTCATATACATCTGGAATAAAGACTATTTTTAAATGCTTTTCTAAGCATGTTAACACATTAAATATGGACATATGTATAGAAAGTACACTTGAAAGAATAAAGAAAAACCGATACATAAAATTTAACACTTTTACTGAATCCTTACTGCTAATCAGACACTGTACAAGATACTAAAGACACAGAATATGAACAGTAGACTACAGTCTATAGAGGGGTTTGATAATAAAAAGGGTGAAAATGAAGGAAATCTTCTTATATTAAAACTAGGATTCTCTTTCAAATTTGAAAAAGACAAATTTAGGTTGCAAAAACAAAGTTCTGTTTTATGAAATAATTCATAAAATTCCATTCTAACAGACTGTACACACTGTAAACAGGAATCATTCAAATGTTTTAAATTCATGAATGATACATTTATAATAGGATAACATTGTTATATTGCAGTCTTTTACCTTTGTCAGTTTCATCTCTTCCTACTATGTATGTTTCCCCCAAACAATGTATTTTCTCTACCTTCCCAAAAATTGAACCCTTAAAAACAATCAGCTTACATTTTTTGCCTTAAGTGTTTTCGAACTTTTCTTAAATCTACAGCAATGATGAATCTGAAAAAATACTAACAATAGTAATCTAAGAATTATAGTTTTACAATCACCAGATTTTCCTCTATTTTTGTAAATTCTTGGTTGTCAACCACCCAAATTCCTTCAGGGGCAATATGATTTCTAATGGCTCTGGGTTCAGGCTTATTCCTTCGTATATTTGCTACAATTATTCCCCCTTATTTAGTATTAAAACAACTGAGTTAACACCATTTGATATCTTCATAAAGATTACTAAAACTGATGAAAGAGGCCAGTCACAGTGGCTCATGCCTGTAATCCCAGCACTTTGGGAGGCTGAGGTGAGCAGATCACTTGAGCCCAGGAGTTTGAGGCTGCAGTGAGCCACGACAGCACCACAGCAATCCAGACCATGTGACAGAGTGACAGACCCTGCCTCAAAAAAAAAAAAAAAAGGCTGGCACGGTGGCTCACTCCTACAATCCCAGGCAGGCAGATCACTTGAGGCCAGGAGTTTGAGACCAGTCAGGCCAACATGGTGAAATGCCATCTATACTAAAAACAAAAAAATTAGCCAGGAGTGGTGGCACGTCTGTAATCCCAGCTAATTGGGAGGCTGAGGCATGAGAATCCCTTGAACCTTAAAGGCAGAAGTTGTACTGAGCTGAGATCGTGCCACTGCACTCCAGCCTGTACAACAGAGGGAGACTGTCTTTGTTTTTTTGAGATGGAGTCTCGCTCTGTTGCCCAGGCTGGAGTGCAGTGGCGTGATCTTGGCTCACTGCAACCTCCACCTCCTGGGTTCAAGGGTTTCTTCTGTCTCAGCTTCTCAAGTAGCTGGGACCACAGGCGCATGCCACCACGCCCAGCTAACTTTTTGTATTTTTAGTAAAGATGAAGTTTCACCTGTTAGCCAGGATGGTCTCGATCTCCAGACCTGTGATCCCCCCGCCTCAGCCTCCCAAAGTGCTGGGATTACAGGCGTGTGCCACCGTGCCCGGCCGAGACTCTGTCTTAATAAAAAACAACAACTGATAAATTAAACAAACTTATTTTAAAAGGGTTTTAAACTCTTGGGTAAGTATTTTACCACTTTGTTCCTAATTCCAAATTATACTTAATATTATAAAATACAAATGTGAGCTATGGTTGCTTGCCTTACAAGAAGGGAGTACTACTGGAAACTTTAAGGCAGTGATTAAACTGTTTCTTAGAACTCTTTTCAAAGGAAATTTTAACATGGTCAAATATTTTAAATTTATTTATTTATTTTTATTTTTTTATTTTTTTTGAGGCAGAGTTTCACTCTTGTTGCCCAGGCTGGAGTGCAATGGCACGATCTCGGCTCACCGCAACCTCCGCCTCCTAGGTTCAAGCAATTCTCCTGCCTTAGCCTCCCTAGTAGCTGGGATTATAGGCATGTGCCACCAGATCCAGCTAATTTTGTATTTTTAGTAGAGACGGGGTTTCTCCATGTTGGTCAGGCTGGTCTCGAACTCCCGACCTCAGGTGATCCACCCGCCTCAGCCTCCCAAAATGCTGGGATTACAGGCATGAGCCACTGCGCCCGGCCTAAATTTAAATACAAAATATATTTTAAGAATATATTTGCACTCATTAAAAATTTGTTATGAACACACACACATCATGTTTTCTTGTACTGTCAGTATATTATTAGACAAAACTGGAAAAAATAGGCTCTTTGCTTACATTACAACTTCTGGTAAAGAGTTTTAATTGGGAATATTGCAGCTCTGTGTTGGTCTTTCTAAAATTAGATTTGAAGAGGTCTGCTCAAGTAAAATTATACAAAAAAGAACACTATTACATCACACTTGTGGAACATTACACATTAGCTCAGACTGAGCCCAGCCATATAAGCTTGACATACACTATTTTCAAAACTAACGGTAATGTAGTTATAGCACCTTAGAGTTTCAGTGTTTATTTTAAAAGCAGGGTACTTTTTGCCTGATATGTTTATGAGAAATGCAAGCAGTTGTTAGATATCCTTTGTTTCAACTTTGAGCCAATATTTCCAATCTCTCTTTAAGAACCCTGATCAGTGTAATGGGAATGTATTCTAAGACTGCAAGATGGACTTAAACCAAATGCTGATAACATTTGCAAGCATTTTTATTTTTCTTTCTTTCTTAATTTTTTGATATGCAGTCTTCCTATATCACACCCAGATTGCTCTTGAACTCTTAGGCTCAAGTAATCCTCCTCCCTTAGTCTCCTGAGTACCTGGAATTACAGCTGCGAACCACTGTGACTGGCTGCAAACAGTTTTCTTTTCTTTCCTTTTTTTTTTTTTTTTTTTTGGTAACAGGGTCTCACTCTGTTGTCCAGGCTGGAATGTAGTGGTGTGATCTTGGCTCACAGCAACCTCTGCCTCCTGGAAGGGATCCTCTGACCTCAGCCTCCCAAGTAGCTGGGACTATGGGCGTGTGCCACAATGCCCAGCCAGTGTTTTGTATTTTTTGTAGAGATAGGGTTTTGCCATGTTGCCCAGGCTGGTCTCACTCTTGGGCTCAAGCGATCCGCCTGCCTTGGCCTCCCAAAGTGCTGGGATTACAGGCATGAGCCACCATGCCTGGTGCCTGCAAACACGAAAATTAAGATTTTCTCATTTCAATCAAGATTTTCTCAGGATTAGGCAACGAAAGTAAGATGAATTTGGAGGTTGATATCAGACTGCAACTATCATCCACAGTCCCTAATTTTAACTTTTTAATCAAAATAGCTTCATGATTTCAGTAAGAAATGATATAAATTTCATAAATACATGATATAAATTGAACCACTTTATACTTATCATGTACTGGTTTTATATACTGGAAGGTGGATAAGATTTCATTTGAAAAGAGGTTTCTATTGCTAAAAATGTTTAAATATCACTGTTTTAAGGTACAAATTCCCCTGATAAAATTTAAATGACTTAGAATACAAATTTGGCTTTAGCTGTAGATTTCCTTTCTTCTCCTTCTCCTTTTTTTTTTTTTTTGAAAAGGAGTCTCGCTCTGTTGCCCAGGCTGGAGTGCAGTGGTGTTATCTCGGCTCACTGCAAGCTCTGCCTCCCGGGTTCACGCCATTCTCCTGCCTCAGCCTCCCGAGTAGCTAGGACTACAGGCACCCGCCACCATGCCCGGCTAATTTTTTGTATTTTTTTTTAGTGGAGATGGGGTTTCACCATGTTAGCCAGGATGGTCTCGATCTCCTGACCTTGAGATCCGCCTGCCTTGGCCTACCAAAGTGCTGGGATTATAGGCGTGAGCCACCGCCCCCGGCCTCTTATTATTATTTTTTGAGGCAGAATCTCCCTCTGCTCCCCAGGATGGAGTGCAGTGATGCAATCTCGGCTCACTGCAATCTCTGCCTCCCTGGTTCAAGCATTTCTCATGCCTCAACCTCCTGAGTAGCCGGGACTACAGGCACGCGCCGTTACACCCAGCCAATTTTTGTATTTTTAGTAGAGATGGGGTTTTGCCATGTTGGACAGCTGGTCTCAAACACTTGAGAGTGACCCACCCACCTTGGCCTCCCAAAGTGCTGGGATTGCAGAGCCACAGCATCTGGCCTAGATTTTGTATCTTATGATATGATGCAACGTAAGTTGTTGATTCTTCTTTTTTTTTTTTTTTTTTTTTTTTTAATGAGACAGAGTCTCGCTCTGTCACCAGGCTGGAGTATAGTGGCGGGATTCCAGCTTGCTGCAACCTCCTCCTTCTGAGTTCAAGTGATTCTGCGGCCTCAGCCTCACGAGTAGCTGGGACTACAGGCGCGCACCACCCTGCCCAGCTAATTTTTTTTGTATTTTTAGTAGAGATGGGGTTTCACCGTGTTGGCAAGGATGGTCTCCATCTTCTGACCTTGTGAACTGCCCGCCTGGGCCTCCCAAAGTGCTGGGATTACAGGCGTGAGCCACCACGCCCAGCCAACTTGTTGATTTTTCAAATTCTATAGGACTAGATTATCTGAACATTAAATTCAAGAAATTTTTCAAGACTGAAATGAGTTATGCTTTCTTTTTGCAAATTTGATACTGGTGAAAGTATGTTAAAATGGTTGCTTTGAAAGTAAATGTGAAGGTTCCAACGGTGTCTCTTTCTTCCCTGGCTGATGCTTCCTTCCACTCTAAGAAGCCAATCCCTTCTTGCCTTTGCCAAGTCAAGGAAGAATACTGACGAAAATAAAACTCCGCTTGCTTTTTTCCAGCACCAACAATTTTGAGCCTAGTGATACCTCCTACAATGCAGAACAGGATCTCTAAAGAACATGTCAAGGAATGTGGATACTGAAACTATCAAATAGCAAAACTTGCCCTAATGACATTCCATATACATCATTTGTTCAACTCTCTCCTGAACATAACTTAATTACAAAATATAAATAAAACTAGGAAAGATACATCAATGACAAATTCACCTGGAAGTCAGTTTTTCAAGAAAAACACTAGGTTTGATCCGTCATGGAATGAGAAAAAAAAGGAAAAATATTGAGGAAAAAAATGAGAAGAAAAAGGAAAAAAAAAAAAGAGAAAAAAAGGAAAAAATCTGGCTGTGAGCTAAAAATGGATTTTATATTTTTAAAGAGGTATAAAAAAAGAAAACAAAGAATATGTAATAGAGACTGACCACATGTGGCCTGCAAAGTCTAAAGTGTTTACTATCTAATCCTTTATAGAAAAATGCTGCCAGCTACTAATAGAGACCAATGTATATATTTAAACTTTCAAATTATATACTTTATATACTTTAACAAAAATTGTGTTTATTACCTGTTCATAATTTAAACGTTGAATTTCTGAAATTTCTTTTGGCTTTGCATCAAGCATGTAATCTCCTGTAAAAAAAAGAATTGTAAAATTGCCTTTTAAAAACTTTTTTTTTCTGATTACAAAAGTAATAGATCTTAATTATAAATGTTAAAACACTGTAGTTATAGCTAACATATAAAGTTGACTCACCAATCCTACCCAGAGAGAATCAATGTTAACTTTTCCTATCACCTCAAATATTTTTTCAATGTATATACTATAGTGCTTTTGAACTTTTTACTTCCATTTTATAATATATTTCAGCAGCATTCCACGTTACTATGTATAAAGGTCCGAAAGGTTGTACCAAATTTCATTGCTGTCAACAATATAACTATTTCTGATTACCTCACCAACAATGGGTATTATCAGTCTTCTAAATGTTTGCAACCCTGAGAAGTAAAAAAAAAAAAAATTTAGCATCTGGCCGGTTTGGGTGGCTCATGCCTGTAATCCCAGCACTTTGGGAGGCTGAGGTGGGTGGATCACCTGAGGTCAGGAGTTCAGCCTGGCCAACATGGGGAAACCCCAACTCTACTAAAAATACAAAAATTAGCCGGGCGTGGTGGCGGGCACCTGTAATCCCAGCTACTTGGGAGGCTGAGGCAGGAGAATCGCTTGAACCTGGGAGGCGGAGGTTGCAGTGAGCTGAGATCGCGCCACTGTGCTCCAGCCTGGGCAACTGAGTGAGACTCTGTCCCAAAAAAAAAATTTTTTTTTTTTGCATTTAAAAAGATGGTATTTTTATATATGAGTTTTTATTTGGTATCACCTTTTAAATATATGTATAACCTTTTGGTATATGTGGCAACTTTTTAATATATGTAGAACCTTCTAAAAATATGGATCACAATTTTAATACTTTTAAATCTATGTATTATCTTTCAAATTATGTATTAACTGTATGTACATACTTTTTTCCTTTGAATTATCTACCTATATAATTTTTTTTTTCTTTTTTTTTTTTAAGAGATGGGGTTTCGCCATGTTGCAGCATCCCAAAGTGTTGGGATCACAGGCATGAGCCATTGTGCCTGGCTTATCTTTTCTTATTGAACTGTAAAAGCTAAACTGGGCTGGGCATGGTGGCTCATGCCTATAATCCCAGTGCTTTGGGAGGCCAAGGAGGGTGGATCACTTGAGGTTAGGAGTTCAAGACCAGCCTGGCCAATATGGTGAAACCCTGTTTCTACTAAAAATACAAAAATTAGCCAGGCGTGGTGTTGTGCACCTGTAGTCCCAACTACTCAGGAGGCTGAGGCAGGAGAATTGCTTGAACCCAGGAAGTGGAGGTTGCAGTGAGCCAAGATCGCGCCATTGTACTCCAGCCTGGGTGATGGAGCCAGACTCTGTCTCAAAAACAAAAACAAATTTTATTTTTTTAAAATCTTGTCAACTGGTTAATCTGTCTCTATCCTTCCAGACAACTAGTTAACTGATTTTTTGTGAGATCTAGACTTAGTGACGTAACTGAGACTGCACATTTTAGAAGACTTTTTTTTTTTGAGACGGAGTCTTACTCTGTTGTCCAGGCTGGAGTGCAGTGGCGTGATCACAACTTGCTGCAATCTTAACCTCCCTAGGCTCAGGTGATCCTCCCACCTCAGCTTCCTGAGTAGCGGGGACTACAGGCATGTACCACCACACCTGGCTAATCGTTTAAAAAAATAAATAAATAAATAAAGCTAAACTGGATGCAGAAAAATGAGCAAAACTTGGAAAGGCAATGGGAGAAAAAGCATCTTTTGAGGGGAAGAATGAATGGAGAAAACACATATAAGAAAGATCATGTCACATGGACAACTTATAAGAAGATTTAATACAAAAGATTTATATTGTAAAGTAGTGGCAAACACGGTTGAATGAGTAAACTTGAACAGATTTTAGAAAATCCTAAATAATATGCTGATAAGTTTGGCTGACTGTAAAAGATCACACGGATCTTTATACTATATTAAGTAGAGAAGTGAAGGATGAAATTGATGCTTTAGGAAAAGCACACTGATATGTAGGCTAATTTAGAGAACAAAGAATGATACGGTCTGCAGGTAAATCAGGTTGTGAAGTATCAGTATACAGAAACAGAAAAAACTTCAAGGAAAGAATTAATATAACCTTGCTACTAATGGGATATTTTAGATAAACAGAAAACAAGAAACCAAAATTTGACAGCTACTTTAGGCCAAAAAAATGGAAGAGACGGTTTGGCATAAGTTTACTAGCTTATACCAGGTGAACATTTGGAAAAAGGAAATACAGGCAACTCTGGGAGAAATTAAAATGCTTCAACATTGACCTGTCTTTATAGCATATTTATATTCAACAGATAAAATAATTTTTTCAAAGTCAGACAATGCCACCATCTCTATTATTTTCCTTACTTTATACTATGCCAGTCTTATCATCATACTAACAATATCAGATGGCTGAAGTCACAATATACATTCCAGTTTATGTTGAGTTTCATATTCCTGCTCATTTCCTGCCTTCTCCCTCCATCTCTTCCCCTACCTTACTTTATTACTCTTCCTAACACTTCCTGGGTATAGTGTTTCTTTCTCTATGCCAAAGCCCTCCAAAAAGCCATGTCCATGTCTGGCTCTGCTCTCATATTCTAGTAACAGAAATTTCCAGATTGAAATTCACCACTCTTTTAATCTTTGCCAATCAAAATTCCCATTTCCTTGGGGTACTTCAGCTAGGCACTAGGAAAGCAATTATTAGTTTCTCTTACAATCCCTCTACTAGTGTTTGCTTTTTAACTAAAAAACATCTTTTCTTCTCCAGAGAAATGGAGTAATCTCAACAGGAGAACATCTAAATAGCTTAGAAAATTAAACAATTTGTTCTGGCACGATTGACCCTGAGTAAAGTTTACTTTTGGTGAGGCAGAGCCTTCAGAATTTATTTGCCTACACCGTTCTTGTTCACTTCTCCCCCATATCCCATTAAAATATTACTTTTACACTGTCACTAATAGCTAAGTCCTCTCACCAGTGATTCCCAAACCTCTTTAGCTATACCAGGTCTAGCTATTTCCCCACTAATTTTTCTTTTTCCTTATTAAAGTTATCTATCCTATGTTCTGCTTCCTCAGGGCTTTGCTAGCTAAGAGTTAGATAAATTTAACACACCAAGATGTGTTAACTATTTCTTTTATTACTCTTTCCAAGAAAAATACCATGCTGACATTTTCGTGGTTAAAGTACACTTATGCAGCCACATTAACTACATGTTGACACCTCCAAATAACTAGCTCACAGTACATACTCAGTAAATATTTACTGGATTGCTGGGCGCGGTGGCTCACGCCTATAATCCCAGCACTTTGGGAGGCCAAGGCGGGCGGATCACCTGAGGCCAGGAGTTTCAAACCAGCCTGGCCAAGATGATGAAACCCCATCTCTACTAAAAATACAAAAATTAGCTGGGTGTGGTGGCAGGCACTTGTAATCCCAGCTACTTGGGAGGCTGAGGTGAGATAATCGCTTGAACCCGGGAGGCGGAGGTTGCAGTGAGCCAAGATTGGGCCATTGCACTCTAGCCTGGGTGACAAGAGTGAAATTCCATCTCAAAAAAAAGAAAAAAATTTTGCTGGATTAAAAAAGGCAAGAAAAGGGCTGGGTGTGTGACTTACGCCTGTAGTCCCAGCACTTTGAGAGGGCAAGGTGGGTGGATTACAAGGTCAGCAGTTCAAGACCAGCCTGGCCCACATAGTGAAACCTCATCACTACTAAAAAAAAAAAAAAACAAAAATTAGCTGGGTGTGGTGGGGGGGCACCTATAATCCCAGCTGCTTAGGTGGCTCAGGCAGGAGAACTGCTTGAGCCTGGGAGGCGGAGGTTGCAGTGAGCCAAGATCGCACCATTGTACTCCAGCCTGGGCAAAAGAGCAAGACTCAGTCTCAGGAAAAAAAGAAAAGAAAAGAAAAGAAAGAAAAACACAAGTAGAGGAAATTTCAAACACCAAAAATACTTTGGGATGATAGAGGGGTAAGAGGGATATATTTTTGAGTACATGAGCTTTCAGCATTCTTTAAATCATAGAAAGTGCCCAGAGGGAGACAGCACATTAACCCCTCTAAACATCGGTTTCCTCATCTGTAAAACAGAGGCATTACAATTTTGTCATGGCTTTATTTTTCCACCAATCTCATCCTTTGTACTATTAGTATTTCTGCACTTATGGCTCTGCTCATCGGTTCTCTGCCACCACAACTGTATTTCTTCATTTGCAGAACTCATGGCAAAAGAGCTCATTTTGTCTCAGAAGGTACGCAGACAAAGTCAAGTAGAGTGCTAGTGATAATGAGCAGGGAAGAGGTTAGGTAAACGGCATCAACTTGTGATAGCACAGAAAGTAGAGCCAGAATGAAGATAAGAGCTATGGAGTGGCAGCACAGTTTAACACTGTCCAGTCGAAATATAATGCAAGCCACAAATTTGAGCTCAAATGTAATTTTAAATTTTCTAGTAGCCACATTAATAAAAGTCAAAATAAACAGGTAAAATTAGTTTTTTTTTTGTTTGTTTTTTTGTTTTTGAGATAGGGTCTCACTTTGTCACCCAGGCTGGAGTACAGTGGCACAAACATGGCTCATGGCAGCCTTGAACTTCCAGGCTCAAGTGATTCTCCTGCCTCAACCTCCTGAGTAGCAGGGACTACAGGTGAGCTTTATTACACATGGCTAATTTTTAAATTCTTTGTAAAGACAGGGTTTTGCCATGTTGCCCAGGCTGGTCTTGAATTCCTGAGCTCAAGTGATCTGCCTGCCTCAGTCTCCTGAAGGGCTGGGATAAAAGGCATGAACCATCACACCTGGCCAAAATTAATCTTAATAATATATTTTATTTAACCTAGTATATGAAAATTTCAACAATCAATATTTTAAAATTACTGATATTCTTTTTTAACCAAGTCTTTGAAATCCGGTGTATATTTTACATTTACAGAACATCTCAATTCACACTGGCCACATTACAAGTACTCGATAGCCGCATGTCCCTACCGGCTACTATATTCTTCA